TCCTTAAACTTTTTAGTTACTCTTATCTTATCTGTAGTGGAATAGCATCATTTTCTAGGCCGTTGATAACTTCTTTAAGTGGCCTATTAAATGGATTGTTGTAATTTGTTTGCTTCTTTCAACTTCTCGCTGTTTCTGCTCCAGCTAGAACATTTTTCAATACCTTTCATGAGGATCATGAAATGATCCATTTACGTGACCTTCAAAAGTTGGAAGGGGTTGTTTCTCAGTCACATTTGGAGGTTAGATATCATTCTAAATCCCCATATGTAACTAGTTATCAGATTAATAAGTTTATAGTTTTTATGTCGATGATTGTCATCTTAATCAGGAGATGGAATTTGCTCGGTCTCTTAGGCAGAGGAAAGTCAATGTTAAGATATGTCAGGTATAGCTACTACTTTCATCATGTGGAATTTTTATACAATTACTTCTATTGAGAGTTGCTGGATTGAACATAAGTGTTTTATTAACAATCATGTACCATGCTGACATGGTTATTATTCATTTTGGGAAGTACTCCTACGACCTTCTACTTCAGTATTTGCGCAAAACTGAGTCCACCACTATGCTTGCAGTTATCAACGAACATATTAACTTTCAAGGTACATTGAGTTGCCATGATTGTAAAAATTCTTCATGATGATATGCCATCTGTACTCTTTTTTAGATACTTACTCTTTGTTGCTTTGCAGTTATTCCTGGACAATCCAGCTCTATTCCTGATGATGCAGAGGTTGTATCCCTTATAGGTGACCGCCAGGATGTTAATCAGAAAGAAATACTTTGGGGGGTGGGTGAATGGAGTTTTTTACTGTCTTATTATCTTTTCAGTTTTCCAAGTCATATGGAATTTATTGCTTATAATTTATGGGGGATCTTATTATTGATTATTTCAATATTGAAATGTATGATATTGCCACACATACTTGCATGCCCTCCAGCTATCATGTGTAAGATAGTTTCTAATGTTATCATTTCATTACAGGCTTTTATCTTGTTATCTGATTTTGGCTATATATATTTGTCATAGTTGCTTGAAGACTCATTAGAAGAACGCTTGGAAAAGGCAGGGGGGCTGCTTTCAGATTCTGAAAAGGCAGAAGGAGAAACCAAGGAGGGGGACATTGATGAGACTAAGGTAGATGTCAGCTACAAATGCTTGTAATCATACTTCTAATTAGGCTTATCTTTTTCTTTCTATACATGTTCTTCTTCAGAAAAGATCAGTAGAAAGTGGAAAGCAAGGTGCTTCAACCAAAAAGTTGAAAAAGGACAAAGCTGTTAATGCTACAGCTAAAGCTGCACGTCCTGAACCTACAACTGCATCTGCTGCACCACGTGTCAACCCAGAGCTTCCGTTGCCCATAATGTATCTTCAAGAGTTCCTTTTGATTTTCCTTGTCTAATTTAGGGAGGATATTACAATGGTATAAAATACTTATTCTAGATGTTACAATACTGAATGTGGGTGCCAAAATTGTTAAGCATAATTCTAAAATTTGAACTATGGTCATCTAGGTCATAATATGACTTTTAAAAGCAAGATATGGATAAAGGTGAGTTCTATCATATTGTAGTAACCTAGTATGTTTCATAATTTCATCACATCCAGTTAAGATGTGATTTATGACATGGTTTATGATATTTTATGAGACGAATCTTATTGGTTTCAAATGGCTGATCCTAAAATTTTGACATTTGATTGTCTCTCAAGCTCTCTACCCCATGGGAGAATTCTTTTTTCTCATTGATTTTTGTTGTTTTGTCCTTCACCTCCTAGCTTAAGTTTGTGGAAGAATTAGTAACCTAGATATATGACTTCAGTATCTGCCTCCCTAGGTCACTGAATAGTGTGCAAATGACAAGTAATGATTCTTACAATGATAACTTCTTTATTTCATTATTACCTCTTTTGGTTGCTTCAGGCCAACTGAAGTTGAACAGTCTATTCTTGAGGATTTAAGGAAACGTGTGCAATTGAGCAGTGTTCCACTACCTTCAGTCAGCTTTTATACCTTTGTTAACACTCATAATGGGTAATTTCCATTGCTTTGGATATTTTAGTGATAACTTTTAATGTTTATTGTCTTCAACTACTTATCAGTTATCACTTTGTGTTTTCTTGTTTAAGTTTGAACTGTTCATCAATATCCCATGATGGGTCTTTGGTTGCTGGTGGATTCTCAGATTCATCACTAAAGGTTGTGTCCAATATCATAATTTGCATCATGCATCATTGTTGCTTTGTTGGTTTCTAATTTTGAATGTTGTACTGCAGGTGTGGGATATGGCAAAGCTTGGGCAGGAAGCTGCTAGTTGTAAGTCTAAAAGAAAATTCTGTTTTAATGTGTTGGTATGCAATTGTGCCTGAATTATTAGGATATTGTCACCATATTAACTGCATATTCCAAGCGCTTATTCATAGGTTTGCTTGAGATTTGAGCATTCTTAGTGAATAGAAATATTGGTACTATATATTGCGAGTTTCAGCTGTTTTGCAGAATGAAAATGATTCTTCTACAAGTGAACATGTTATGGGGCCAAATGGTGGGAAGAGATCATATACATTATTTCAGGGTCATTCTGGACCAGTTTATTCAGCCACATTCAGTCCTCTTGGAGATTTTATTCTTTCATCTTCTGCAGACACAACAAGTATGTTCTACTGTATCTCTGTCGTCTTAGGGATTTCATTCTTGATATCTAGAACCTTTTCTTTGCTTTTTTTTTTTTTTTTTTTCTTTTACTGTTTGTATATTTCAGTCTGAACCTGTTATACAGTCTGTGCTGAAATTTCTTTGCTACTCTTTAAAACTGTTATACTGCAGTACGATTATGGAGCACAAAACTGAACGCAAATCTTGTTTGCTACAAAGGTCACAATTATCCTGTATGGGATGTTCAGGTATTTACTTGTATTCCACATTTTGATTCTAATAACATCTTTCTAGTCTTGAGTCTTCTGAAGTTAAAAAGGTTGTCTATCCTTTGGTGCAGTTTAGTCCTGTAGGACATTTTTTTGCCAGCTCATCACATGACCGAACAGCAAGGATATGGTCCATGGATAGAATTCAGCCTCTGAGGGTAATGGCAGGGCACTTGTCTGACGTTGATGTAAGCTGTTTTACCATCTGTTTTGCAGTTTTAATCTTATTGTCCATTTGAAAGTAATATCTTCCATAATTTTCAACCTTGCTGTTTCAGTGTGTCCAATGGCATGCCAACTGCAACTACATTGCTACTGGCTCTAGTGACAAAACTGTTAGAATGTGGGATGTACAAAGTGGAGAATGTGTTAGGATTTTCATTGGTCATAGGAGCATGATATTGTCATTGGCAGTGTCACCAGATGGTCGGCATATGGCATCTGGTGATGAAGATGGAACAATCATGATGTGGGACCTTTCAAGTGGCCGATGTGTTACACCTTTGATGGGTCACACCTCTTGTGTCTGGACTCTTGCTTTCAGGTGAAAAACCTTGCTTCTCAATATCCAACTAGTCTCTTGCACTTCATAGTGATGGGTTCTTTTAGCTTATTTTCTTTCGTTAGTTTTAACCTTTTATCCTGCTTGTCATACTTCAGTTGTGAAGGTTCACTTCTTGCATCTGGCTCTGCCGATTGCACAGTGAAATTATGGGATGTGACTACCAGTACAAAGGTCCCGCGGAGTGAAGAAAAGTAAGCTGATGCGTGAAACTGTTTCGCCCTCTGTAATTTTTCTTCTATGTAGAGGTTGGCCTAATATTTTACTCTCTTCTTCTACTAACTTGAATGAGCAGAAGTGGAAGTGCAAACAGACTGAGATCATTGAAAACTCTGCCAACCAAGTCAACTCCAGTATATAGTCTTCAGGTAATTGCTTGCAAATGCTTGTTCAGATTCTGTTTTTTTTTCCTAGATTTCTCCTTTTGCATGATGGGGTTGTTAATGCAATGCTTTTACTTTGTCCTGAAGCAGTTTTCAAAAAGGAACGTACTATTTGCTGCTGGTACACTCTCAAAAACCGTGTAAACTTGTCCCTTTATTGTAGCAAGCATCATGGCACAAAGGATCGGACTGTAGTTAGTAGGAATTACCTGTATTTTTGAATTCTGTTCTGTAACTGTAATATTTGAGTGCACAATATGGAGATATAAAATCATAAAATTGCTACCTGGAACTCTCTCGTATCTTGTTTGAGACGAACTGCAACATCCATGGCAATTGTTACCATCTTTACAACTAGACCTTGCAAACAAGTCGGTTGGCTTGCTTCGAATTGGATCACCTCGAATTCTAAATTTATCGGGTTGTGTCATTTCATGTTTTCAGATTAAAGGGGTATATTTATAATCCATCCACATGAGTTTGAAATTTGAGTTGAATTACTCTACTTCTTAAAAATTAAAATTAACATTAAAAATTTTCAATATTTTCTCTAATTTTTTTTTAAAATTTTACTATTAATTTATTGTTTAATCAAATTTTTTTGTTAAATTAATATTAATTTTAATAATTTAATAAATAATATTTAATTTAATTTTATATTTAAAAATTAAATTCAGAAATAAAATTAATCAAAATTTTAAATTAAAAAATTTTAATTAGGTTATTTTGAGATGATTTTACTCAATTCAACTCAATTAAATTTATGTAATTTATTATATTGGATTCTATATTGATACTTTGAAATCATGATCTAACTCATAGCACGTGAGTTATGTCAGATTTTTAAATTAAATTAAATTTTGCAAAG